TCTGTCCATAATAAAGGTAACCATCAGCGAATGCTTTTTTCTCCCCTGTTCACTGTGTTTTCGTATATAGGCTGGAGAAAAAGAGGTCAAGCAAAACTTCTGTGTGAAGACTGGCACTAAAGTGAATCTGCTACGCAAACCTAGAATCAGAAATGCTGTCTATCTTCTAGCTAAGTATGAGGCGCACGTGTTATTGGGGAAAGGACATAAACTGCATCGGTGGACAATTGCTTGCAACTGACAGATACAGAACCTGGAAGGCATGAACAAAATGACCGCTGGTCCTAAGTTTCTCTCTTATGGCAGGGATCTGATACTCTCGGCAGGTGATTCCTGTGTGATAAGGAGTCTCACACAGAAAGGTTGCGTACTGAAAAACAGCCAAAGGATGGCACCTGAAGTTGCACAGCCAGTACCTGAAGTGATTGTGCGACATTAATTGTGGCTATAGCTTCATTGTGTGAATAAAATGGTAATTACGGTGCCCAACAGAGACATACTAAAAGCTAATGAAAAACATGTAATGACCTCTTTTAAAAAAGGAAAAAGGAAGCCCTCTCGGGGGAAGGTGGGGCTCACGGCTCCTGAAGTCAGGTTACTGGGTGGGCAGAGCCCCATTGTACATAGTCTGGCAAAGCCCGCTGCCGACAGCGCGTCCATCACTTATCGCGCTGCCCTAGTGAAGGCTCCTAATGAAAGAATCCAGTGTCAAATAGTTGGGCAAGATTGAGCAATTCAGTCAGTCCCCGGGAGAGGTGAGATTAGCAACACACTGTGCAGCAGCCAGCTGGGGCCTGATGATGGGTAGCTGTACTGTGTGCTGCTGGTGGCTGAGGCTCATTGTAACGCCTGGGAATCCAAAGGGATGGACGCCCAGGAGAGGCAGATCCCGGAAAAAACAGCTAGTGCAGCGTGTGCCGATATGTATGACGATATAGACACAATAATTGAAAAGAAGAAAACATCCAGGACAGGAGAAAGACAAGTTTGGTTATGCAACCCACTCTGTTTATACGGCCAAAGGGAAGTTTGCACTCCCACCTGATGCTGTGAGGACTGCCTTACACAACACTAGCACAGCATGGCCCACTTGTGAGCACAATATAAATAATTCCCGAAGAGAACTGCCCTATTGTTCCTGTTCTCTCTGCCAAAGCTTCAGTCGCCACAAAAGCATGGCATTTCTCTTCATCCAAGCTGGTCACATTTTGAAATATTTTCTGGTAACTGTATACTTACAGCAAGAACTTCAGGGAAATGAACAGAATTTGATTTCCTAGGGAGTGCGAGCATGTGCCTGACTGGCTTTGATTGCTAAGATGCAAGCTCTACACGTACGTTTGCTATAGCAGGGCTACAGAGCACGGCCTTATGCTCATAAAAATCTGTTGGAGGCAATGGAAACCCTGCTCAGTGAACCTCAGCTTCTAGCTGCTGGGCAGACTGGTTGCCACTGGTCATAAACTCGTCAAAATGTTGTGCTGTTCTGCTGATTGACCCTCTGCCTCAATAAAGAAAACCCAACACCGAGTTAGGGCTGTAACTGGAGAGGTCTAAAGGCTTCTGGCTGATGAGAGGGCCTAACCTTAGAGAAAAAGCGTAAATGGGTACTTTATAACACCTCTTGTTGACATCGATCACTTGGGATCTAAGAAGGCTTCAGCCAGGGCTATAGCCTTTATTCAGCTCAAATACTATTGCATTATCTCTTTTACCCAGCTACTTACTTTCATCAAATCCATAGGGACCCTGATCTTTGAGATGTCTTCCTCTCTCCCCTACCAAAATGTGACTGAAACTAGCCAATAGATTCTGAAAGTTCAGGAAAACTAAGGACAGAAACATGTACAAAGTGATGGTGTTTTCATCGTAAATCAGGCTGAACCACTTTCCACAATTAAAACATTATGCAGAGCTATCATAGAGTCATTCTATAAAATGGAAGAGCTCAAAAGAGAGACTCACATGGTTTTAAACTATGATAATAGGTCAACTCAATGATGTTTGAAGAGCAAGGATGCCAGGCGGCTGAACGAACAATAACAAAGCCTAACATTTACAACAGAAGATGAGGCAGACTCGAAAGCCAAATCAGAGGCAAAGAGAAGTTACAGTCAGAAAAATACTAATAACAACCCCCCGCCTGTGACATCTTAACTGTACCCAGCTGCTTCGAAATTGTCTTCTCGATATACACTTTTGTGCAGGCAGGCAAGCTTTTGACATCGGTTCCCTAAACCACACCAAACACATGATAAAGCATTTATGAACCATTCCACCTAATCCATTATTACAAAAGCACTGGCTGCTGCCTTTTTCACCCTTCGCTTTTGACGATGCCAGGCATCACGCTGGGCAAACAAGACAATGTTGTTCAAGGTTTCTTGGAAAAAATCTCCACTGTTATTGTTTGGCAGTTCCCTAAAAGCACTGGATGGAGGAAAAAGCAAATGGTGAAACAACTGAGAAAGAGATACTCCTTGTTTTCTCTGTTCATCCCCCTTCCTACTTCTACTCTACTTTAAAAGTACGTGAACTGGATCCAGAAGATCAAAGGACCATCTCCACATGCAAAAGTATTCCTTTTCAAAGAACTGTTGGGAAGCAGTGTAGAGACACCAACACCGTAAGATGTCCACTGTCAACAGTTCAGCTCCCGCTGGGGGAGGATTCCCCACACCCGTGAAAAACGGTGTAAACTGTGCTACCAGCAATCACACAAGGATTACGGAATTTGTTGGGAGCATGGAGTCACCTGAACACTAGAGACCATTTGTCTGAAGGCAAAAAGGATAATCACAGTTCTTAGAAGACAGTTATAATTTAAAATGGGCCTTACAAGTTTTTTCCACTGTCCAAATATTCACAGCAGGGTAATTCAAGTGTACTGAAGTTCTCACTCCTACAAGTGACATAAAGGGTAAGGTTTATTAAACAGTTGATGGTAATCACCTACAAAAAGAACTGCTTGTATAAACGTAAAAAATTACTCCCAGATCCCTTTCTTCTGACCTGTCCTTTTCGGTGCTCAGATGCGTGCTCTTTCCAGTAACAGATTGGTCCCAAGCCCAGCATCCACTTCACTGCAACTTCTGATTCCACAGACCAGGACAGAAAGCAGTAATGAAGCTCTAAACGGGATTTCTAGTGTAGAGGGAACGGCATGTCCTCAGATGGGGCAGACAGCTTTCAAGTACAAGCTCATATACTAGAACATACAAGAGCTTGGTAAGAAAAAAGTGTATTACCTAAATCAGAGCATACTATTATTTGCCGTTCCTTTCCTTCAGGCAAAGGGCACCAGTTATGAAGTCTGATGCAAAAATAAAAAAGGTCTGCAAAGTGAATGTTTGTTCAGAATTCTCCTTTCCACCCATTTACCTGAAGATGGGAAATAGGTTGAATGAGAAAATAATCCACTTCTTTAAGGTCAAGACACTGACTGAAACAACTTAAAAAGAAAAAAGCAAACAAATAAAACAGGGTGTTTCATGCTACAGCTGTCCTCACCCAATGACCGACATTTTAATTTATAGCCATTTAAACTTGTTTCCTCAAAATGAGTATGAGACACATCCCATGCTAAGCTCATTTCTGTCACTCATTTTCTGTATGGCATGGGGTACGCTATTTTAATTTTCTGCTTTGTTTCCCTCATAATGCACAAGCCCAAGGAACTCCCTTAAAGCAGTATTAGCAGAGCTAGAGAGTCAAACACAAGGCAGGAATATCCAGCACTTCCCGAATTAATGTAGATGTTTTTGGAAGCACTAACAAACTTGTAATTTAGCACTGAACATCAATCTCTGCTCTGAGCTGGAGCAAAACCTTGGTGGCCAGAAAAGGGACTGCCGGAGCACTGTGGTTCTCCTCACACCTTCCGCTAAGATATTGGTTTTTACTGGGGACAGAACTGCCAGACTGAGCGAGCCACAGGCCTGAGCTGATGTGGCGGGGCCCCCCCTGCCTGCGGTCCCCGTCTTGCCTGTGAAGTGGTCTGAACGGAGACACCATCACGTGAAGTACCAGGAGATGCTTTGGGCACTAGTGCGGGCATTTGGCCTGCAGTTATCTCAGACAAGAGGTTGCCAAATTTTCTGAAGAGTAGGAAAATACACGTTCTGTTTTGCAGACAAATCCATTGCAATGCCATAACCTTGTATGGGCTTTTCAGAGATAAACCTGGATTCCCAGAAAGCTTTAGACCACGATGAATTTCAGTTTCTTGCTTCGTAACATTATGGAAAGGAAAATCGACCTGATCACAAGCAACTCAAAGTGCTGATCTTGGTGATATTCTCTTTTTCCAAGTACAGGCTATAGCTTCTTATGACCTTTTCTTCACAGAATGTCAAACTATACACTTAGTCACTGGTGTAAATAACACACACTGGAAAGAAAAACAAGGGAGAGGAAGAGACACAGCTTGGAAAAAGAACCATCAATTTTCTTTTCAAATGTAGCTGAACAGGAGAGTTGAGAGGGAACAGATTAATGATTAAGAGGGCTAAACGAGGACTTCAGTATAAAGTTATTATCATGTCCAGATGTTGTTTTTGCCTTTGACAGTTGCTTGAGGTTTCACTTACATAAATGCAGATATGCATCTATTCTTAAGGCACCTACATGCATTTAAAATGCCTGTAATAACTTTAAGAAACAGACCCTTATACATTCTGCACTCCAGTCCACCTGCAAAATGAAGAGAGTGATGGGGTAAAAAAAAAAAAAGTTTGTTTAAACATTGAGTACATAATTTACTAACAGTACATAATTAACAGACGCATTCAACAGTTACTCCAGCAACAAGCTGAAGTAGTTCTCATGCGTACAAATTGCAATATTGCTCCAGATGATGATTTTAAATCTATGCAATATTTGGGTATATTATATGTATATGACCAACACCTCTTAATGTATACTGCAGCTTTTAAAAGTTCATTGCTGTTGGAAGCTTTTTAAAAATAAAAGTAACTTAAAAATGGACTTTTTCCCTTGAAAGTACTACGTATATCTGATTACTGCGCAGCCAAGTTGAAATACTCCCTCCATCTGCTATGCCAAAACAGATGGCAAATAATGAGCAAGTTGGAATATTGTCTGCTTATAGTATTTAGCTTGCGGTTAAGGACTTTCCAACTTTCTGGGCTAGCACCATCTTGCTACAAAACTGCTGTAGATCAAGGAGGACTAGCACAGCTGACATAATTCAGTCTCAAACCAACCTTCCCATACTTAATAGCTTCTTGTGTCAGCATGTGTCCTAAGCTGAAACATCTCAGATTGAACTTGGCTGCAGCCTCAAGAGTACAGGGATGTGTTTAGCAGATGAGACTGGCAGGAACAGCGGAGCTTAATGCGGTCAGAGGTTCCGAAGGCAGTGGAAGCATTATGGCTGCTGAAGGTAAAAAGGGAAGTTTTTATCTTTGTCTCCCTGGTTCCTCACAGTTCAAGCACTTGGATACTTTACTGTGCAGCGGAGCCACCACTCAAGTGGAAGTGGAGACGAAGTGGCAAGGTTTTTTCTGAACGGTTCTGCAAGCCTACCAAGACTGCACTATTCCAAAGTAAAGAGCTACCCTGAAAAAAACCCAACTAAGTCTTAAGCAATTAAATTCAGCATGTCTCCTAATGAAATTGTTATTCTGTGACATATGTAATTACCAATTAATCGTCCCTCATTTTAACAAGCGACAGTAGGCTAAAGGCTTTCTTTTTCATTCCACGTAAAAATACATCCATAGTGGTATAAAAGACAATTGATTTTAGGTTTTTCAGACTAAAATTACGCAAAAACCTTCTTCAAAATGATAAACAATAGGAGTCCTACCTCCTTAAATGTGTTTTAGTAACCTTGTTTATTTCTTTATAAAAATAATTAACTACTCTATCTCAAGTTAATTCTTTAAATCACGCTACTTCCCCACGCAGTTTAATATCAGTTCAAGAGTATCAAAGATACAGTCCAAATTAATTGCAGTCTTCCTCCAATTTTCTTGTTAGAATAGCAGCTATGGGATGTGCAGTTCTCCTCTAGCCAGAGGGCTAATATTGCTTAGGTTAAACTCCAATCCGCTGTTTTCAAAACTCTCCCCTTCAGCTCGCAGATCGATGCAACTTCAGCATAGCTAACTCTTGGAGAAACATGAATTGCAGAGACTTCAGAAGAATTTTCATTATCTTGTTTAAAACAACACATGAGAGTAAAATAGAACAACTTTGGTTTACAAAACATAGCTTTAATTATACAGATTGCCTCAATGCGTTTTCAAATATAGATTTCAAAAAGTCACCAGTGCTTTAACATATGCTTTCTGCAATAACATCGTGACATTTACTTTTGAAATACTTATTGCTAATATGTTAGTATTTGTCAAGTTTTACCAAGTGTTAACTATTGAGTATTTTTGTTTAAGTGTCCAATAACAATTAACTCATTACTGAAATGCCATCTCTAGACATTCTCTAGTGCATATATGCTTTCGTAGGGATTCAGGCATTATTCTGGTTTATGGGTTATGAAGAGCTTAAGTATGTTTGCTAGACTCTGGGGGGAGCCATGCTTAAGTTACAGGAAAAAAAGCAGCTAACCCTACTGAAGTGGCATAAATAACTAAGAGAGAAGATAATGACTCGGTCATAAAAGCTAACAAATTTATACACTTAGAGCTTCAGTTTTAGTCTTTTTCTTGGTCTCAGGAAGAATGTAAAATACCAGAAAGTGTATGATTGCCTGGCCCACAGCATTCTGGTATAATCACAATAATCTGGGGAATTCAAATAGATTGCGAAGAATTTCATGTGGAACAAATTATATTAAAGAAGATTCTTTAATGAAATGTCATTTCTGACTCATGGAGTAGATTAAGTACTTCGGAGAGAAGTCTTCAGGGCCAGTCAGACTCCAAGTAGATTTCTTTCTACCTCAAGAGGTCGCAAGGTGGCTTTATCATTATACAAACTGAATTTCGGTTTCTTTGCTGAAACTATCAGCAACAGCACCAACTTGGAGGTGATTTCTTATCCTATGCAAACTGCTGGGCCACAGCTCCTTTCGAATAAGCCCAACAGCAGTCAGCAAGTGGTTTCTACTGACCCACGTGACCGTGAACAAGCAGTGAGAATCCGGTATTCCTTAATAATCTCCCAGGCACTTGCTTCTTTCACAGTGTCACTTTCAAACCAATCTTAGCTTTCTACACCACTGTAACCTGAATTTGATAAATCAACTCTTCCACAGAGCAGGAATTTCTTTAACAACTTTGTACAGACCCTAACATGAAATCAAATAGCAGTACATAGCTTTGAAAACAGATTCAGATTGGTTTTTAACGTATTTTTCACTTGTATTTTAGTTTCTTTCAGAGCAGAGTGTCAGTAATTTGCAATCACCATAAGATAGCTGACTTCTGTGTCATTCTTGTTGCGTCACTTGAGAACATAGCGTATTAGAAAAAAAATATAGTTCATCAGATTACAGGTAAACAACTTCATTTTGAAAAGTTACTTTACCTGTATGTTATGGGACAGAAAGAAGGCAACTTAGGTTAAAAGAAAAATAAAAAATAGAAAAATCCAATAATGACCAGAAAGCAGTCTAAGAGACCTGGAGGTTTAGAGGTGCAGAATTTTTAGAGTTTTTCAAAGCAATTTCAGAAGAATGAGAAAGGAATCTGAAATGATGCAGCATAAAAACTTCAAGGATCTCACGACTAATTTTCATGGTGGAAAGGTTCAGGTTGAAACACGCTGCCTGTTCAAACTTTCTGGGAGAGAACACGGAGGATCTTAGTTCTTAAAAATGCTGTCAGATAAACCATGTCACCCACGTGACCCACGCAAACCCATTGTCTGCTAAAGCTGCAAACGCATTAGCACTTAACAGAGGTTTCCAAAGGCCAAAATCAGTCTCTTCAGTCACTAAATGAAGATTCACTATCAGAACTGTCTTCTGCATTCCCATCATCTCCCCAGGCAGGCACAGGGGCATCTGGGGTCCTGCAGGCAACAAAAACGTTGTAGGTTGTAAATCCTAAAAGGCACCTGAGAACACAAGCAACTCAGCACATAACGCTAACGTCCTTCCACTCCAACTGCACGCGCTTTATATCCGCAACATTTAACACATGAACTGTTTACGGTTTACAAATGCACACCTTATTGGTACTGCTTCACCTACAACTGAAAGATAAACACTAGAAACTGTAACTCACTGGACATAAAAACTCTGTAGACATCGGTTTGAATGCACGCCTTTGAGGTTATCGGAAATAATGACAGATCACTGAGAAGTGGCAAACACTTGTATAGAGAGTTGAAAGCAGGCAATACTGATTAATTCGATTTTTTTCAGTCTTCAGAGGTTCTAGGGCTGAAAGGAACATGCTGTACACCATTAAGCAGTGTAAATAGTACATGAAAAAAATAAGACAGGAAATGAACAATATTGTATCCAACTAAAACTGCAGGGATAATTTAGAGAAGCAAAAAAGAATTACTCAGAGTGGAATTTGGCTAGAACACTGGGTTAAATTTGACATGCAAGAGCAGCCATGGGATTTTTATTGACTATAAATGATCAGATCTCTTGTATTTAGTTTTGAAGAGAATATTTAAGATGTATCTTAACATCATGTCAAAACATTTGCTCAGGGAATCTACTGGGAATGAAGGGGAGAGAAGCATGCTGCCTAAAGACTTAACTAACACTACTGACTGAAGATGCTGGCTCTCCCTGGAGTCTCCCTCCTAAGTATGTAATGAGTTTGACAACACAGGCAAGACTGAGCTTGGTGAATTCTGAAACCAAGGTAGAAAATATACAGGCAATTATACTTGGGGAAAGGGAAGCATGATCTTCACAGGAACTACCCTCCTGCTCTCTTTGATAAAATACTACATTTTAAACTAAGCTGACAATCATATTATTTGTCCCGATGTTATTTATCTTGGGGCTACCCCTGAGTGTCATGCCACAGAATTTCTTTTCCAACTTTAGTTCTGTTTATTATAATTTCTCTGTTGGAAATCCCTAAGGTACCTTTAAAGCACTTCTAAACATTTTGGGTGCAAAAATGAGAAGTGCGTTGAAGAACTGTAAGAGAAGCTTCTCCCTCTCCCCTGCACACCTCCAAAATAAATTAAGAAAGCGTTTGCTTTCTCATGCAAATACCACTTCACAATATTATGCCTTGTTGCTGTGGTAATGACAAAACAGAAGAGCAGTGCAAAGACATGTGATCTGGAGAGACCGGTGCAAAAACTCTTCTCTAGTAAGGAGAGGAAGATGGCAATAAATTCTTTTAGTTCACGAGGGCAGGACAAACTCTCCTGGAATTGTAGACAGGCATGAGAGTAAGGATAAGAAACAAAAATTAAAAGTAGGTAAATTGGGAGCTTGATAGAATAGGTAGTTTTCAAACTCTGTAAAAAATTGAGAAAGGAGCAGTAACAGAAGGAGAAGTAAAACAGCCGAAGGAAGAGAGCACAAAAAACTCCATATTATTGGATTTAACATCTCTGCAGCCACAGAAGAACCATGCTCGGTCACTGGCAAGTAGCTGGGAGAGTCTGCAGTAAGCGACTGAGCATACCTATGTACATATGTACATTTTCCTAATTTTCACTGGGACTGAGCGAGCAGGCTTAAGGACCCTGACGACCCAATAAAGGTGGTGTGAACAGCAAGATACATATGAAAGATATGAAAGCAAGATTAAAAGAAAGGTCACCCCTGACTCCTTAAAATATTAAAAAAATATTTCAGATAATACCAGTTCTTTAAAGAGGCATTATGCACCTTGACAGCTTTCTTTTAACCAGGTAGATCTGCTATACAGTTTTCAAACCAAGAACATTTTATAGTAAATCTGCCTAAGCATTAGTGTTGCACAGAATCTTTGAAGATGGACTTCGAGACCGAACCCCAACATATTCCGTAAACCCCAATCCACAGTAATAACTTTTCTGTCTTAACCCAAAACAGACAATCCAAAAGCAGCTACTTTTTTTTAAAAAGCTTTTCAAATTTTAACCTATTATCTTATTAATCTACTACAAAAATCCATCAAAACACAAAGAAATAGCAGCACTTACAGAAAGGTATGGACCAGAAATGCAGATTAAGAAATACAACACATTTAAGACACAGATTGTAAAACCATGTTTGATATCCCTGTCTCAGGTTCTTACAGGTTCTTACTTGTGTTCTTTTTCTTATTTGTCATTCCATCAGTACGAATACTAAATGAGGAATAAGTTTTAGGCTTATTTAGACACCAGGAAGTAGCTGGGAGATAAAGTGACTCAACATACGATGATACTTCAGTTTTCCTATATTTTTATTTAGTTTATTAAACAAGTTGTACACTCCAGCTACTAAGGGAATCTGGAAACAAATGTGTTGTCCCTCATGCATCCACAAAACCAGAGTTTGTCCGTATTACTCTACAATGAGTAGAGTTTCAATTTTCTTATTGAAGTGTTGGAAGAAAATATCTGGGAAAAACCTCATACTCTAAACAGTAGAGTGAAAATGGCTACTGATGTATTATTTGGTTCCTCATCACTAAATACACATTGTCAAATGTTACCTTGTCATTGCTATATCCTTTTCCTCAAACTGTACCACCTCTGCTTGGCTTGGAAGAAGCCCTTCTGTTTCCTCTCAAGTCTGAATGGTAAAGTCCTGCAACTTTCTGTTTGGGAGGGTGCAGTACCTACCCATTTATATTCCAGTCTCTGTATTTCCTGGTCCTTGCCTTGGACTAGACAATACTGAAAAGACAGACCATACTTGAGATTGCACCCCTCCTCCCTTGGTACTGATGGCCCTCTTCAGACCTGTAAAATACTAAAACTGCCTTTCACGGAAGACTTCAAAACTGGTTTTAATGCTGATAATTTAGTTTCACAATGCCATAACAAAAGCTTTTCTAAGCACAATTTTTTCCAAGTTTTTTAAAAATGTGGTTGCATTCCAGCCCTAATGGAAGTTACAAATTACTTACTCAAGAAGATCTGGATTTAGCCCTTCAGAAATCATTTTGTTTCGTATTGCCATTACAGGAACACCCTGTGTAGGAGGAAGAATAATATGAAACCACTGGACACAAACAGGTGAACTAAATTCCACAGGTTCTTGCAGGCTACATTTTCACACAATTTCACTTGTTGAACAAGAACATGGAACAGTAATCTCAGTTGCCATCAATATGAACCTAGAAGTGAGAAATGACTGAGATCAAAGGCCCTTTTAATCCTACTTATATTTATGGCAAAACATCCAGAGGAAGTTGCAGGGAGAATATCAGGAACGGGCAGATATATTTGCAATTCATGCAGACAAACCCAGGGAGCTGAAGTTATGTGTATGGATGGGAATGTGAAGAAAGCACAAAACAGGACTAAGACAGCAGAAAATGGTTGTGCTAGAAAGATGAAGACGACTCAGACAAGCAGAAGGTATAGCCAAAGAGGGAGGAAAAACAAGAAGTGCATCTGCTACAGCTCTGGAAGGATACCTTAAGGCTGTGCTAAAAATCGGAGAAGTGTTTAAAAAGCATGCAGAGAAAGGCAAACAGGACATGAGAACACAACAATTTAAAAGTGATTCCTCTGAATACAAGTGCTTTTACAGTCAGGCTTGAATATTCTATGACTCGCAGGCAGATTTTAGCCAACTATGTACGTGTTAAAAAAAATTCCTTCCTTTCACTGCAAGTCCTTCCATGGTTTCTGCACTTAATTTTATTCAGCAACACCTAAACATCCCCTCATCTTGGATCGCATCCCCAGGAACACGTTGACCCACGTCGCCTTAGGAGATACACTCTAACAAATTGCTCCTATGTTTCCACTAGAGTTGCTCAAGGATGACTTGCTGCTTTGCCATCCCCTGTTGCAAACTATCAGAAACACCACCTGGATCACTGCATGCCAAGACAGGAGGGGAAAAATAAAAAAAAAAGAGGATACGATTTCTGATTTCCAAAGGACAAAGCTACTGGTGGTCTAGGAAAGTCAGGAGAGGTCTCACAACCTAAATGAAAAGTAGCGTAGCATTCTCCTGGCACAGGACAAATATCTGTTGTCCAAAATAAGTAAAATAGTGACAGAATAAAGGGCAGCCATGACCAATGTTCCAGAGAAGCATGTGGTACTACTGACAGTTGCAGTAGCTAACCTGGCAAAGTGAGAGCCAAGCCAGCTATCTTACTGTGTTTTCCTCCTGCAGTTTCACAGTAAGAATCACAATCAAGACTTTTGTTTGAAGATTCAGGAATAGCACACACACAGGTACATAGTTTTAGCAATCTATTAGGCATATTGGCAAAAATGTGACGCACATAGTTGCTTGTAATTGGCTTGTAATAAAGAATTTCTCAGTAATTCACAACTAATGTACATTACAAAGGGGAAAGCATTTGAGTATTTCACAATATTTAAAATATTCCCTTATTCTACTATAGATTTGGACACCAGGGATTATGTGTCTATACACCATCTCGTACTATCTTAATGTACTTTTTTCCCTTGCTTAACTGCTCTTAGGGTTCCTTTACCCAGCTCAGAAGTCACTGATGAAGTGTTTTTGCATCAACTCAAACCATGTGAAAGCCATATTGAGTCAGATCAGGCAAAACAGAACTCTTATTTCCTCTCAATGAAAGGGAGCTTGGCGTATGAACTTCTAAAATTGGACTGGAAACTGTTATGTTTTTACATTCATGCTTGGAGAAGCATTTTATTCCAAATGGTATGCATCAAAACATGTAAGAAAAAAACCTCTCAGTACCCTCATATATCACAGATTTACAAAACTAATCTTAAGTTTAATCAAAATACCCTTTAACCTTTTTTCCTGAAGGAATACAAGATTGTACCTGTATCTGTTCATAATACAACTAGGACATTACAATTACTTCATCTTTCATACTTTTGTAAATTTTAATTTGGAAAATCAGAGCCTACTGTGACCCTAAATTTTACTAAAATAAAACAGACAACTATTTTAAATCTAAACAGTAACTACACTGAGCATACAGGTCCACTGAAATGGCACAGGTCTACTTTTCTGACATAGGAGCCAATCCTAAATTCCCATTGCATTTGTGTCTGCCCAGTTAAGATTTGAAACACTCTGAAACACTACACATTCAGTGCAAGTGTACCCCAGCCTTACTCTCAGCCTGGTCCTGCAGCTCAGGAAATGTGCGGGTCCTTGAGAAGCCACAGTGCAAGTAGCAAGCTTGTTGCAAAAAGGGTTTTGGTTCCCCATAGTGCAGAAAGAGGCCACGTATCACGAGCACTGGCAATTCCTGAAGATCAGCACACTCTCCATGTTTGGTTTTTATTTCAGTCCTCTAAACCAAGGATCAATCTATATCAAGCCCGTCAGTAACTTGGCATCTATGCAGTCATGTTTGGTGTTTAGAATCAAGTAAGAGTATTTGTACTTTAAACATGAAGTTTATCTGACATCGTAGAGTGCTCCTCTCACACTGTCAATAGAAGTGTTCTGAACATCTATTGTAGCAAATATGATACTGCTTTTCTAACATTTGCTTGAATATTATTGTATATTTTTAAAAATATGAATTTAGTATGCGCTACTAACTGCGCTCCATCTAAATGAGTTTGTTACTATTTCACAAAACAGCTATCTTTAAGAGAAATACCTCTTCATGGTGCTAATTCTTAAATACTACAAATATTGTGAGCAATAAATAAATGATCAGTTCAAACAAATCTTCATCTAGAAACTTAATTTGGGCAAATAAATGACATTAACTGAAATACTTGACTGGATGAGAAGACAAGTTTGGCAAATACAAAAACACACATTAATTTGTAGTATGTTAGTTTGACTTTCCTACCACACTGTTTACAACTGGCAGGGGAGTCACCAGGAACTGCCAGTACAAAGGATAAATGTGGAAAGTGAGATCTCACTCCTCTAGCAGCCACCAAAAAAAAAAAAGTCAAAGTAATTAGACCATCCAGCACTTTCACATCCACTTTGAAGTCTGGCATTAAATCAACAGACTAACGTAGTGTTCTACTCTCTGCTACTACCCCACTGCTAGGTTTTCCAAATGGTCTGTAATAAGCTACCCATAAAGTGCCAATTTGTGATTCAAATGAAAAATAAGGTCTGGAACACATTCCAAGGTACCAAGCACACCAATTGTAATAATTGCTCTGAAGAGGGAGTGAAACCATGAAGTTAAACATAAGCAACATTTTACTAATACTATGACACAGTCATTTTTTCCAGAATTATAATATATATTTTAGAGGAAAATTTCCACTGATAGCTTGAAAATAAAGACACATTTTTTTGGTCGTTATTCCAATCTCATCTTTAATTTTGTGGATGTTAAAAAAGAGCTCTTAGAAAATGTCACCAAGAGTCTCCCATTCACCTTTTCACTCCTTCATTAGTTTTCACACATGTAAATATCGAGATTACATTCATTTATTTCCTACTTATCTGTAGAACAGCCCACAGATAAAAAGATAAACAAAACCTGCATCACAAATAACAGGAAACAGAAGTGGAACCAAGTAGTAAAGCAGTTCTTTTGTCTCTATTTTGAACCCTACAGAAATAGCGAATACTCCTCCTAGTCTGTACTAGCAAAGCTGCATTTTGTACCCTATGACAAAAGCAAACTGTAATCATGTCTGTGTATAGGGAATGACACCTATTCTCCAGAATAACTACATTTTCAGTGGCATCTTCTGTGACTCTGGCTAATATCGCTCTGCATTTACCCATCTTCACACCTTCAGTTCCCAAGTATGTTGGCAGACTTTTGCAGAAAGATCTTGCCTGAAGCTGCCTGAGGGAATACATTATATCAACTCACTTATTAGAGAAGATGTGCTAGACATACTGGGATGTTACCCTATAAAGATTACCGATGCAATATATGTCTTCAGACATTTAATGATCACTTACAGTGGTGAGCAACATTCCACCTAAAAGTAATGGTGTACCAATGAATGATAACGGAACTGACTTACCACTTGAACCATTTTGAGATATCTGGCATATCTAGGATCCTTGGCCACAGTTCTGACATTTTCTGTTACGACCTCCGTTTTCGGTAACCCTTCTTCATGTATATTGTTCTGCTGTATACAAAGAAGATAATGCTTTAATGGTTAGGTACGCAGACCAGAAGGATGGACAGATCTCAATCCATAAAATTTGTAATTTAAGCGTAAAGTGCAACTTTTCTTACATCAAGATTATTCTGATCTACACTCACAGTATTAGAGATTTTCCAGATGTACGAATACACAAAAACCAGCTCTTTCATTACTGAATGTTACAAGTGTGACTTTCTACTTTCAGTCATAATTTGAAGTTATTGCACAATACTTGAAAAAAAAAATTAGCCTATAATAGCCTTGTTAATTTTGTTGTATTTAATGAACAGAATGAACAGAAATTTAAGTGCTCACTTTATATAAAATAATTTTTTTAAGGATTGTATCTTTGTATCTCCCGTAACGATCCACTGCATTTTTTCCTCAAAATATTTGATTCCCTAAAAAATGTTTCATACAGATGACACAACTTTAAAACTATACTTTTTAGTATAAACCATTGACCTAAAAGATAACATAATGAAAACAAAGAATCCTTGAGACTAACTAAAAAAATGAAAAATTACAAGAAGCTATAGTGCTATTTAAAGAACAACAGAAAACTGCATATTTGCTATTAAACTAACCATTTGAAAGTAGCTTTGGAAATGTCCTTT